ATCATGGTATTTACTTCAACCGCCTTTAACACTGACTCTCCTCCCAATGTCTTCCCCGGCCTCCATTCTTTAATACTCAAGTCCCTCTTGTACATTGTCTTCTTCCTCAGCCAAGTGGACACTTGCCTACCCTCTAGCTAGTAATTTATAGGGTCTGTAGTCTCATATGAGAGAAAGACAGGGCTTTCTACTTCTGTAAAGAGGTACAGCCTAGGAAACTCACAAGGGCAGTTCCACCCCGTCTTACAGGATCTCGAATGAGTTGGCATCAACTTGATGGTGTCATTTTTATTTTGGGTCGTCTTACAGTGATAGACAGAAGCAAACAAAGAACTCATGACCACTTTTAGACCTAGAAGGAGCCATCAAAATCTAGATTGGTCCTCCTGACTTTGGGAAGTTAATCACTGTTCCCCTTTTCCTGATGCCATTATGGAAAGGTCAGTGAGGTTAGGGGACACAGACAAGGTCTTGCCTTAAACACAGCAGGACCTACAGGTGCTTCCATAGCTACAGTTAGAAGGACTATAAAGGTCCTTCCAGGAGCTAACAGAAGTTGAACGGTTCACCACAACATCAGCGGTTCGAAACCACCAGCCATTCCGTAGGAAGAGAGGGAAGCTTTCTGTTCCCATGAAGATGAACAGCTTCAGAAACCTTTCTGGGTCAGAGTGAATCTAAAACTACATCAACTCCAATGGCAACGGAAAAGGTGAACCATGTGTATTGCTTCTAAATTTTGATGGTCAGGATCCACAAATCCAGCCTCGTCGTACCCAGCCAATTTGATCTGGTCCTGACCAGTCAGAGACCCCCACCTGAGTTTGATTTCCTGCCCCACTACCAACACTAAACACACTCACATACACATGCTCATGCACTACAACCCGACAGACCCCTCCCTCCATCCGCAGTTCTCGCCCCACATTCCCATTTCTCTCCATCCTTCCCAGCCCAGCTCATTTCCCAGCCCCCTCGAAAAGCCCCTGACTCGCAGCAATCTTTCTTCCTTTCCTCAGTCCACAGGTGGCTCATGTTGATGCTGAACACAATGCTTCAGGCCAACTAGAGATTCAGGCCGCCAGAGGATGCGCCCTACACAAGACCAAAGTGCAGCTTGGAAGATGACTGGGCATTTCACTGACCGGCAAACGGGCAATGATGCTCACTGCCGAGTGGCGAAGATGACTGCAGTTCCCTGTGTTAGTCCAGGTAGACCCGAGAAACAAATTCATAGACACTCATATGGGTGTAAGAAAGCTTTATATTAAGAAAACATTCCAACCCAGTCCAGATCAAGTCCATAAATCCAATATTCGCCCGTATATCCAATACCAGTCTGTAATTTCCTCTTCAGACTCATGCCACACATGCAATGATGTTGAGTGCAGGAAGATCACAGGGTAGAAACTCTTGTGGATCCAATGGTGGTGGAAGCATCTTAGCGCTGGCATAGGTCTCCATGTGGCTCCTCCAGCTCCAAGGCACTAGCTGCCATCAGCATAGCTCCATGTGGCTTGTCAACAGGAATGTCCCACAGGGAGAGTCTATGTGTCCTGCCTCCAGTGAGCTATTAGTGCCTCCAGATGAGGTCATCAAGCTGCAGCCTGATTGACAGGCTAGTCTCCACCCCTTCATTCTTAATAGTCTCAAGTTGACACCAGATTATGTAACTACCACATTCCCAAAGCCAGAAGACACCCTGTCCCTGTCTAGAGAGCACATTGTCTCATCCGGCTGTGAACCTTCATTCATTATCTAACCACATTTACAGAATGCCAAGCCCTATAAATAGAACCATGGAACCATGTGGAGATCCCCCCTTCATAGAGGCTGACAGATGAACTAATGCCTCACCATCTATCCAAACCCCCAATTTAGAAAACTCAGCAATTGCTCTGGCTTCACCATCTCCTTCCTTTCCATGAGCCAGCTCTTGGTTAGTTCTTAGCATAATCCTACATCTAAACCCTCTGTCCCACACCCAGCCAAATGCAAACCCTAGTAGTCTCCATTGTAAGTGGGCAGCTTGGCCTCACCGAGCTGTCAGCTCAATGGGTGCCAAAAACATTGCACGAAGATCAGCTGGCTCAAAGAGCCGATTTTCCTGTCCGTTTTTAAAGCAGGATGGAACCCACGAACGACAATTTTATGGTAAATTCATGTGTGGTCCAGAGAACCAGGTCCACTCAGAAGAGTGCTTCCCAGGGATTTTCTGGGCCAGTTAAATTCAAGGCAGAGGGATACTTTGAGAAAATTATGGCAACTCTTGTCTGGGATTCCGACGGTGTCATCTTGATAAGTTTTCTCAATGGACACAGGATTATTGTGACAATGTTTTAAGAATATGGAAAACCCCAACACGATCCCTGAAGACAAAATGGGTACTAAGCAAATGTGGTGAAGAAAGCTGATGGTGCCCGGTTATCAACATATATAGTGTCTTGGGTCTTAAAGGCTTGAAGATAAATAAGTGGCCATCTAGCTGAGAAGCAACAAAGTCCATATGGAAGAAGCACACTACCAGATCATGAGGTGTCAATAGGATCAGGTATCGGGCATTAAAGACCCAGAACAAAAAGTCATACCATTGTGAATGAGGGGGGAGTGCGGAGTGGAGACCCAAAGCCTATCTGTAGGCCACTGGAGATCCCCTTGCAGAAGAGTCACAAGGAAGAGACAAGCCAGTCAGGGTATAGTCTAGCTCCACTGAAGCATACAACTTTCCTCTAATTGTTTAATTTTCCCCCTCTCCCCACTATCATGACCCCAATTCTACCTTACAAATCCAGCCAGACCAGAGCATGTACATGGGCACAAGAAGAGCTGGAATCCAGGCCTGAAAACCCCTGAGGACCCGTATTGACAGTAGCAATATCAGGAGGGGGAGGGGAAGGGGGAGGGAGAACCAATCACAAGGATCTACACATAACCCCCTCCCTGGGAGACGGACAACAGAAAAGTGGATGAAGGGAGATATCGGTCAGAGTAAGACATGAAAAATAATAATAATTTCTAAATTATCAAGGGTTCATGAGGGAGGGGAGCAAAAATGAGGAGCTGATACCAAGGGCTCAAGCAGAAAGCAAATGTTTTGAGAATGATGATGGCACCAAATGTACAAACGTGCTTGACACAGTGGATGGATGGATGGACTGTGATAAGAGCTGGACGAGCCTCCAATAAAAAGTTTTTTTTTAAAAAAAAGGATACGGAAAACTGCCTTGGTGAGAAAAAGGTAGCTAAGAAAGTTGTGCCGAGAAGTTTTCTTCCCATCACACCACTACACCCCTCACTCCCCAAGGGGCCCAAAGGTTGTCCTGTGAGAATTTCATGGGGAAACCTTGACCCACCCACCCAACATCCATGATCTTGTCCCTTGTGACTGCTTTTCATTCCCTGAATGCCAAGGACATTTAAAAGGAACACATTTGAGCCCCTCAAGGGTGGAAACCGGAGAGTGCAGGAGGGTGAAAGAGAGGAACCGCCTTCAGAAACGGATGGACCTAGAAGGAGGCGTCCAGAAACAAGGACTGCAGATGCTTGCCTTTCTCCCCGTCTGTTTGCAATGAACGTGTGTGTTACCAAAGACCCTAAGTCCACTTCACTTGTGCTTCCCCGGCCTCTTTAGCCGCTCAGACCAGTCCTGGGATCTGAAAGCAAGGACTCTGGAGGGCGTTTAAGTCTGTTTACTCTTCTTGTTGTTGTTTGGGTTTTCAAAGAAGCAGATTCTGCACAGGGACCCGGATCACCTCAACAAGCGGAATCAGTAGCGATGCGGTGCTGAGCCGCCCCATACCTGTGCTCCTCCCATTCTCCCTCTCCCTCCTCCCCGGCCCCACCCCTGCCCCTGGCCTCCTCATGCTCTTCAGAGTCCTTTCTTTGAGAGTGAAAATCACGTTTCATTTCCTTGTTTCTCCTTATAACAATGGTATCACTAAATAGCTATCTTTCTAAGATTGACTAACTTTGCTAATCATAATGTTCTCTACTTTTGTCCATGTCTTGTGGTGTTGGAGTGTTGTGGTTTTCATTGATGTGTACTATCCCATTGTATGAATGTACCAGAGTTTGTTTATATATTCCTCTATAAGCGGAGTTTCTGTTTCTGTGATTTTACTATTATGGAAATGGCTGCCACAAACATAGGTGTGCATATGTCTGTCCGTGATGTCACCTGTATTTCTTTAGGATGTACACCCAGTAGAGAGATTGCAGGATCATAAGGTAATTGTGTTTGTATTTGTTTAAGGAAGTGCTATATTGATTTGCACGGTGGCCGTACAATTCCACAGTCACACCAGCAATCTTCCCCCATGCTCTCCAGCGTTTGTAA